CCCCCCCCCCGCACGCCTCCTTCCTCCCCTGAGCGATCCGGAAGAGGAAGTTGCTCTGATCTTCTCCTCGCCTCCCATCCTTTCTAGCAATGCAGTACTCGATGGTTGCAACCCCTCTTCCCTCCACCACAGATGCCGCTTTCTAGTCGCAGATGCGGCCTATCTGAGCGTCATCTCGCGATAGGAGGGCGGAAGTCACGCTTGTCCCGTCTGGGCCTTTGGCGTCTGCAAGAGAGTTTTCCCTGATTTCTATGCTCTCCGGTCGTTTCCGCCTCCCAGCGACCGTCCTTTGCAACTGCGCCACGTGAAACAGCGAAAAGCGACGACGCTGCTTAGTTTACAAAGATTAGCTCCAGGCTGAGCCCTAGAAGTGTCTGAAGTTCAAACAGAAATGCAGACTAAGAGTCGTAACTCTCCAAGCAAAGACCTTACACCATTCTGGCCAAATGGCTGTCCAGTCTCCTCTCAAAAGCCTCCACGGATGGAGCACTCCCAACTTTTAGAGGGAAGCTGTTCCAGTGATTAATTAGTTTCATGGACAGGAACTTTCCCCTTAATTCTCGGTTGGATCTTTTTTTGATAAGTCTCCCTTCCGTTGCTTCTTTTACTGCTCTCAGGCACTTTGGGGAATAGGTTGACCCCCCTCTTAATGCATCAGCCCCTCAAATACCGAAAGACTATCAGGCCACCCTTAGTCCTTCTCTGCATCAAATTAGACATACCCAGTTCCTCCAACGGCTCATCCGATGTTTTAACATCCAGTCTCTTTTTGTATCATGACCAAACCTGGATGCAGTATTTTAAGTGCAGCAATAATGCATTACGCTTCAAGTGATCTTGATATTATACTTCTGGTCATGCAGAGCAGGACTGCACTCACTTTTTCTGCTGCTGCATCGCATTGCTAGCTCATCCTTAGGTGATTGTCCACTGGGAGCCCTAGATCCCTCTCACAGATACTGCTGTTGGGATATATCCAACTTCTTCTATAGATGTGCGTTTGGTTTTTCATGCTTAAGTGTAAAACCTCATTTTTTTCACCACTGAATTGCATTTTGCTCTAAAGGGCCCAGTGTTCCAGGTTTGGCTATTCCCCCCTTCTCTTAATGACTTATGAAGATATTGAAGAGTACTAGGCCTTAGAGAGAGCCTTGGGGTACCCCGCTGCATGCTTCCCTCCACATATATTTAGTTCAGTGGTTCTCAACCTATGGGTCGCGACCCCATTTGGGGTCGATCGACCATTTCACGGGGGTCACCAAGCAAGGCTGTCTGCCATTTTTCCCCCCCTTTTCTGGCGGGTGCCTTACCTCCCTTGAGCTGGGCCAGCTGGTGGTCGGCCTGCTCCATCTATGCCGCTTGCCAGCTACACCTCGGCCGGCGCAGGGGGCGGAACCACGCATGTGCGGCGCACCCGGGTAGGGAAAGTCCTCGACTTACGACCGGTTGGGTAGTCCTCGACTTACGACCAGTTTAGTCCTCGACTTACGACTGGTTTAGTCCTCGACCTACGACCGGTTGGGGGGTCGCGGCATTAAAAAGGTTGATAACCACTGATTTAGTTCCATTGAAGATGACATGTTGAGTGCTGCTGGTCAGCCAGTTACCATTCCATCTGGTGCTGCTGCTATCATCTATCTCATATTTTTTTATCATACCAAGAACTATTCTCTTTTGTACTTGTTTGCATGTGGAGCCCCTAAATGATTGCCAAATTCATCCTATAAACATAATGAAATATGGTACAAACCTGGAAGCAGGCTACCATATTGGTCCCCATCCACACCTAGTCAGGAGATACAGGTCATCCTCGACTATTTGTTTAGTGACCGTTTGAAGTTACAATGGCCATGAAAAATGTGGCCGATGACCCTTTTTCATTCTTACAACTGTTGCAGCATCCCCCTGGTCATGTGATAAAATTCAGATATTTGGCAGCTGCCATGTATTTATGACAGTTGTAGGGTCACGTGATCCCCTTTTGCAGCCTTCTGACAAGCAAAAATAATGGGGAAGCCACATTCACTTAACAACTGTGCTAAAAACATCATAAAATGGGGCAAAACTCACTCACTTAACAACTATCTTGCTTAGCAATGGAAATTTTGGCTCAGTTGTGGTTTTATATGAAGGACTCCCTGTAATAACTTTTTGTCTTCATTCTTGCCGAGCCTAAATCTCCCTAGAGGGCAGAATTGCTCAGAGCAGCCTTCCCAGTTTCCAGAGGAGTTAGATCAGGGGTGTCAAAACTCAATTTCATTGAGGGCGGTATCAGCATTGTGGTTGCCCTGGGGGGGGGGTGACCTACTGGGTGGGCGTGGACAGAGTGGGTGTGGCCTATTGGGTGGGCATGGCCAGCTCTACATTGTTTGCATCAAGGGTGTCTGTGGGGGCCTGGGCAGGTGTGGGACCGATCTGAGGGTCTCTGGCAGAAGGGGATGGGACCAGGGCAAGTGCCAAGGCATGGTCCACTGGAGGTGCCTCACTGTTCCTCTCAGGCCATTTGGGGGGGGGGGGAAAGGTGGTGCTGACTGCCAGCACCCCTGGGCAGCAAACGTCAAATGCCCAACCTGGCCCTCGAGCGCCTGCGGCACCAAGCCCAGCCCCACTATCCCAAGGGGGTGCCCAGCTGCAGCACAAAATTGTACATTGGCTCCCAGCTGGCCTGGGCCAGGGCCAAGGCAGCGGGGGCCATTCCCTCACTATTTCCAGGATAGCTTCGTGGACCACATGAAACCACTTCGCGGGCCGCATCCAGCCCCCGGGCCTTGTGTTTGACATGTCTGAGTTAGATTATTCCCAGGAAAACGCCTAGGGCAAAACCCTTGGATGGGCGAGTTAGCAGAAAGCCGAGGTAAAGATTCCTGCGCTTTCTTAGGGGTGACTCTCAGTGGATTCCTGCTTTCCTGCTTAGGCCTAGGCCTGGTAGGATTGGCCAGAGTTGCACAGATGGCTTAGCAGGTAAGGCGGGACTGGAACTGAGCATTTCCCAGTCTCTACCCTGCTGCCTTTACCAGTACACCCAGCTGGATCTTCTTCCTCCCCACAGAATCCACCCATTTGACCTCTTCCTGCTGCTCCAACAGCAAATTCAAGGCTGCAGCTTTCAAGATCCAGTCCAACCTCTTTGCAATGGGCTCCCCCTTACTCTCCAGATAACGGATCTTTTTCATCTTTCAATCTGAGCTTTAGACTTTTCTGTTCAGGAAATGGAGGGTTCCTCTGATTGGGGACTGGTGGCTTCTGGTCTGGCCCTGTGTATCAGCTCCTCTGCCTTTGGGGTTGTCTTTTATTTCGGTCAGTTTTCTTAGCCACATGTTAGTACGTTTTGTGGGGTCTATTATTATTGTAAAAATAGTTTTTTGGGGGGGAGCTGTTATTCTGCTAGTTTCCTTGTGTCAGTTTTAATGTGTCTACTTTGTATATTGAAATTCAATTAGTATTTATTTCTGCTCTGCACTTAATTCAATCAATCAATCAGAATAGAGCTGGAAGGGACATTAGAGGTCTTCTAGTCCAATCCCCTGCTCAAGCAATCAGAATGTACCATTTTAGGTAGGTGGCTGTCTACTCTTTTCTTAAAACCCTCCAGTGATGGAAGCACCTGCAACCCTGTTTGAGGAATTCCACAAGTTCTATAAAAGGAAACATCCAGAAACCTCTGCTGATAATCAGAAACAAGTCATTAGCCTTTATGAAGTTAACAATTTCCATATTTTTTCTCTACACCTACAGTTATAGTTAAGCAAAGCAGGCTCCCAACCATAATTGGTAGGTGCCATTACAATTGTATCCCAAGGACTAAATCTACACTAGCC